ATTTCGGGCTCATCCCACCAAATTTGGCCACTTCTGTAGTCGTTAATCTGGGATCCATTTCGATGCTCCTCTTGACAGCCCTTTTTGTCCTCTCCGATGGACCAGGACGACCCGGACATGTTTCCTGAACTGCATGATGATTCTGTTGACTGTCGAAAGAGGGGTTTCCCAAATTCTGCGAAATTTGCCGCTGACTTATTCCACCATCTGCTTGACCAACTATCCTTTCCCTAACAAAATCTGACAATTCAAGAGAACCTTGAGTTCTAGGCATGTTGTTGCACAAGATAATTAGTGTGCGGACCATTTTCATTTATATAGTGCTCTGTGAACACAAATTAGTCAGCATAAATCAGTTAAATGACGAAATATTAGGTGTCTATTTACTTGTGACCACTCAGTGTAGATTTTGTAAACAATACTTTTTGACCAGTTATATGCATTTGAATGATGAATTGTATTTTAATGATGTGAGTGGGCCATGGGCAAATCCGAGGAAAATCAGCAAAGGGTTTCGAGGGTGACAAAAATACCCTTAACCTCTTATCAAATTTTCTCCTTGAATCTGCATCAATCTTGTCATTTAAACTAGCTTTGTCAGCCCTGAAATTAGCAATGGTATACCTCGTATGTTTTTTAAAAATCAACCCTGTAGCCAGACATTCAGTATATTTTTGTTTGTGGACTCTGGTCAATGTGACTTACTAACTACAATGAAGCACATAAAAGAGGGCTATATTTCATGAGAAGTATATTTTATACTTTTATTGCCCTCAGTATATTTTAATGACAGAAATACACCATATAATTAAACTCTTGTGTTAAATTTCATACATCAAAACTCACAATATGAGAGTTTAACATCAATAAGCTTACAGCATAACACAATATATATTAAGTTACATACATTGTGACTACACTTATTTCTTATACACTACTGCCATTCAGAAACACTGCCAATGATGCAAAGGAACTCACCCACTAAGAAGGGTAACCAAATTTCTTTTATAGCAAGGCCAATTGACTAATCATGTATAGTCTCCCAATGTCATGGATTCACCTGGTTCTTGAACATGTTTACATTTGTGAGTGTTTTACATTCAGTGCTATTACAGGGTCCATACAGACATAAGTTAAAAAATTCCAGGACATTTCCAGGAACACCCAAGTGCATAATTATAAACAAAGAATGACTTTACTCACAGAATCTATTAAGTGGATTAATTCTTACATAGCATAACATGCAATTAGGGGCATTTTACATAAATTAAATGGTTTAAAATGTTTTTATTTGAATAATTTTGTTCAATAAATAGATCTTGTAGTACTATTAGTTACAGTAGATCTACCGCTAGTGGCGCTACCAGGTCTAGGCATAATGGCAACAGGAGATTTCCCATCACTTCTAGTTGAAACATTTTTTTCTCATAAAGCCATCAATTTCCATGGTTTGTTGGTATTGCTTAAATAATGCAATGTGTTTGAATCCTTTCACAGGGTTTTTAAGTGCAGTTTCACCCATATGCGAGATATCGAAGGTTTTCTTGCACATGTTGCAACCAGCATTGTCTTTGGCTGCACTGTCACATACAAGCCAATCCGCATATACTGGTTTATCAAGCCATAAGGCATTAAATGTGCATTTCCTGCCAGGCATAGCTTTAATTTAGCATGATAAATCAAAGCTTTGTTAAGTTTCAATAAACTTACGAACTGTCATTTGTTACAATTGCATTGCGCACGCATAAATCATTAATGATAATAACAGAGCATCGAATCGGTAATGTTTCTCATGGCCTGTGCATTATGTATAAGAGCCAAGTTATGACAGTTATAGTAAGCCGTGTGTGCCTAACCATGTAAAATATTTTAAAATATTAATTTCTTGGGTTTATGTGAAATGATCAGACAAAAATAACTTTTTTTAAATAGTAAATTAATTCCAGGAATTTTCAGGAGCCTTTGTACATTTTCAGGACTTTTAAGCACTTTTATAGGAGCATGTTAGTTTTCTAGAACTTTCCAGGAGGTGTATGGACCCTGTATTAGCATAACAAAGATGGAAAGCCTATGTTACGGTGATGTTTAATAAATGTAAGATCAACCTCTGTTGCTGGATCTGGTCAAGCCTCAACAGGTAAGCATACCCAAATTTTCTCCTTGGATCTACATTGATCAAGTAATTTTTTGGGGATCTAGAACTACATAAAATGGAATTCTCAGATGTATGTTTTAATCAGGATTTCAAGTTAGTATAAAATAAAAAAATATTAGGCCAGTCTTTACAGAAATAACTATAATAAAAAAAGTAAAATTTTCACACACGTATACACATAAAGAACAATACTAGGAAGAGAACATGGTCTCATAGCATTTATGACACTTTGAGCAATGTAACTGCTGATTAAAAATTTCAAGGCAATTTTGCATATTTAGAAAAAATAAATTTTATGTTAATGTCTAGTGAGGTTTATGAGTTCAAATTTATGTGTTGTTTGTTATTACTGTACTGTGCATGTTGGTCTATGGGTGAAATACATTATCTTTACAATGAAAACACTAAAATATACATTCAGGTGAACTACTTATAGTAGACTTTTGCACTTATAAGCATTACAGCACACAGATGTGAAGCTTAGGAAAACAGTGAAGAAACTGACAATACTATTAACTCAGGCTTCTAAATATAATAAACCAGCTCTATGACTGTAAAGGAAAAAAGATAAACTTAAAAAAAAATTATAACATGTGGCTTTCTTGCTGAAAAAATGTTCAACAACTTTTTAACTTCATTGGTTATGTTCATATTTCCATCAGACAATGACTAGAAAAAGGTTTAGATACCAATCATAAATGGCAGGACCAGCACTA